TGATGGAGAAATCTACAAGGACAACTAAACCAAGCTCATAGAAACTCAAGAACTCTAGACCTACAACTGTGGAGACTCCAGGGGATCAAACTAGGTCCTCTGCATGTGGGAGACAGTTGTGAAGCTTGGACTATCAGAGGGGGCCCCTGGCAGTAGGACCTTGATACAAACTTGGTACATTAGCTAGCTTGTTGGAGCCCATTCCTTAGGATGGGATGCCATGCTCAGTCTTCATGCATGGGAGAGGGGCCTGGCCCTGCCCCAACCTATTGTGCCAGACTGTGTTGACTCCTCATGGAGCCCTTACCCATTAGGAGAAGTGGACTGGGGGCAGGCTAGGGGGGAGGTGATAGGGGTGGGATCAGGTGAGAGGGTGGGAGGAGGGGTAGAAGAGAGAACTGTGGTAGGAATGTAAAATGAAATAAAAAATGAAAAAAAAAAAGAGTAGCCAAAGCAATCCTGAACAAAAAAAAAAATACTGCAGGAGGCATTACCATACCTGGTTTTAAATTGTATTACAGAACCATGGTAATAGAAACAGTATTGTACTGGCACAAAAGCAGACATATAGATCAGCTTAACTATAGCTACTGGATTTTTGACAGAGATGTCAAAAATGCACATTGGAGGAATGATGACATCTTAAACAAGTGGTACTGGGAAACCTGTATTTCCACATTTAAAAAAAATGAACTAGATTCTTACCTCTAATCTTCACAACTTCAAATGGATAAAAGACCTTAATGTAAGAACTGATATCCTAAAATTGCTAGATGACTAAGTAGGGCTTTCTAAATAGGACTCTGGTAGCTGAGAAATCAGATCAACAATTGACAAATGAGATCTCATGAAACTAAAACAACTTCTTTACAGCAAAGGGAATGGTTCATCAAGAGAAGAGGCAGACTATAGAATGGAGACAATCTTTGCCAGCTATGCAGTTGACAGAGGTTTAATATCTAGAATATACAGGTAACTAAACAACACCAACATCAACAAAGCTAATCACCAAGAAAACAAATAATCCAATTTTTAAAATGGGCTGTGGGCTGGGTGGTGGTGGTACACGCCTTTAATCCCAGCACTGGGGAGGCAGGGACAAGCAGATCTCTGTGAGTTTAAGGCCAGCCTGGTCTACAGATTGAGTTCCAGGACAGGCTCTAAAGCTAGAGAGAGAAACCTTGTCTCGAAAAACCAAAAAAAGAAAAAGAAAAAAATGGGCCTTGGAATCTAACAGGACACTAAAAAAGACATACAAATAGCTGCTAAGCACTTTTAAAAGTGGTCAACATCCTTGGCCATTGGTGAAATATAAATTAAGACAGTTATGTTTTCACTACCATGCATGGCTTCCCTCTTGTTGAGCAGGCCTTAATTAAATGCAAGTAGAGAGCTGTTGGTTACTGCCAACATATATGTACCACTGTTGCCATGCTGGTTATTGTGGTTCATAGCTTGGTAGGACTATAGGTTGTTTCTCTTGGAAACTTTCCCAGAGCCTTCTGGTACCATGAAAGCTAGTCCTCAGGAAGGAGGCTTTCAGATCAAACCTAGCTCAGGTCCTCTGGGTCTTGTGTCCAAAGTACATGGTGTCTTTAGCAGTGGACTTGCTTTTAATTTCTAGGATGCAACCAAGTGCAACGGCAATGGGCTATATAATGTTTTGGGAGTCTCTTGGACAGCTCTGGCCAATACCTCAAAAGGAGGCTTCTATATCAGAGAGGCTGTACTTATAAAGTTTATCAACATGACTGCCTACACAAGACCTGAACAAGGATGACAACAGTTGGCATGCTAACATGGAAGGGGGAAGGTCTGCAGGGCCTCTGTCCTAGGCATAGGACTGTGGAAACTGGGGAATGCCAAAAGGGAGAAATGGTTTTCTCCAGGAAGAGCTCCCAATTAATTATCCTATACCAAGTGGTCAGTCCTGAGGTCATATGCATATATGTAACATTATACAGACTGAGAAGTTAGGAATTGATATTCAATAACAAAGAAAAATGGCCATGAATTTGAGAGAGAGAGCAATGGGGTACAATGGAGGAGTTGGAAGAAGGAAAGGAAAGGGAGGGAAATGAAGTATTTGTATTATAATTTAAAACATAAAATAAAAAAAACTGCTTTAAGATTCCATTTTATTCCAGCCAGAATGACTAAGATTAAAAGAAGAAAAGAAAGTAAATGACAACAAATGCTGGTGTGGATGTGACAAAAGGGGGAACTCTTTTACATTGTTATATAATGCTAGACCCTGCTTGCTACAACCCTGACCTTCCAGATACACATGTTCACTGGTGCAGTAGAGAAAAACTGTGTGTCTTCATCAGTGTTCATTGCTGTGACGAGTCACCATGACCTTGGCAATTCTTGTTTTTCTTTCTTTCTTTTTACTTTCTGTTTAAAGCCCTAGCTGTCCTGGAACTCACTTTGTAGACCAGGCTAGGCTCCAGCTCACAGAGAAAATGCCTGCTTTTGTCTCTGCCTCCGAGTACTGGGATTAAAGGCGTGCATGCATCATCATCATCATCATCATCATCATCATCATCACCATCACTACCACCCAGCAGTGGTAACTCTTATAAAGGAAAGCATTTAATTGGGGCTTGCTTATAGTTTTAGAGGTTTAGTTCATTATCATCGTGGTGGGGAGTTTGGTGTCACATAGGCAGACATGGTGCTAGAGAAGTAGCTGGGAGTTCTACATCTAGATCTGCAGGCAGCAAGAAGGGAGAGAGCCTCTGGGCCTGCGTTGGGCTTCTGAAACTTCAGATCCCACCTCCAGTGACACATTTCCTTTGATAAGGTCACACCTACTCCATCAAGGCTACACCTCCTGATCTTTCCAAATGGTGCCACTCCCTGGTGACTGATCTTTCAAATCTGTGAGCTTATGGGGCCATTCTTAGTCAAACAACCATACTATGTATGTAGGTAACCAACTACTCTCTTGATTGGATTTGGGGCCTGCTCTACAGGAGGGATCATGCCTGATTCTGTAGACATGGTCAAAACTCATAGCTAGGAAACTCATAGGCTCTTTTGGAGAATCCAAAAGGAAGGGGAGGAGTGCTGTTTAATGCTTTCCCTGGACATGGCATTGGCTCTTTTTTGTATGGCATTTCCCTCAGAACTGAAACATTCCTTCCAGGAAGGAAGGGGAGGCTCATGAGACTTAGGGGGTAAACCAATAGGCATAAGTCTGGGAGAACATAAACTTGGAAGATTCGTGAAGACCCCATGTAAGAGTATAAAGGAGTGAAAGACTGACAGAGGAGACTGACTAGTTGAGTTGGAGGGAGATTCATTCTCAGACTGGTAGCTGGCTGCTGCAAGCTGTGTAGAGAGCTCCAAGGTTGCAACCTTTGTGAGTTGTCACCTGTGTTGGGGTGGACTTTTCAGTGATGCTTTGACTCATCCTTGTTCCCTGAAATTTCTCACCATACTCCAATACAAATGTTGGTTCACTAAGTTGGACATTGGCATGATCTGTACTTTGGTCTGTCATGGGTTCTGTTTGTGTGTTGTGTTTCCCCAAGAAAAGTCTGTCACACCAGACATTTCATGTAAATTAATCCATACAGTATGTAACCCTTATGTATTATTTCTTTTCTGTGAAATATAAATTTCAGAGTTCATCGCTATTGCAACATACTATTAGCACTTTATTTCTTTTTTTCTCCATTCAGTTGATGAACATTTGAGCAGTCACTTTTGCTGTTATGAATGATTTTTGCGTGAGCATTTGTATACAAATCTTGTGTGGCCATATGTTTTTACTACTTTTAGGAATGTATCTAGAAATATAATTGTTGTATCCTATAGTAACTGGTAAGCTGTTGTTCAAACTGGCTCTTTAATATAGTCCCACAAATAATATTTGAGGGATCCAATTTTCTATGTTATTTTAATTTAATTATGGCTGGTACTATGACAAGAATTCTGTTGATCTTTGATCAATGTAAGAAGAATTATTACATTTTTTCAAGCCTAGAACTGATATGATGTATCTGTTTAGACCTTTTAAGATTATTTCTAGATTTCATTACAGAAGGAATAGCTTCCTTAAGTTTATTATTATATTTACTCTTGTTGGTGCTCTTGTGATTTGGATTTTCTTGATTTTTTTTGGTGTTCTCTGTTAGTGTACAGAAATGCACTTGAATATGTTTTTATTTAAACACAAATCTGGTATTTTAAACTCATGAAAACATTTATCAAGTAGAATTTTTGTTTCCTGCCTTCTGCTAATGTATGTGCATAGACCTTACTAATAGATTTTTGTCTTACTCTTAAAGATTGTTGATCACTTTGTGTAAATTCCATGTCACACTGCTGTTTTTTTATAATGAGATTTGTAATTTATCATTGTTACAGTGTAAATGCTACCAAATGCCACTCTGGACATTAATATTTAGCCATTTTTCAACTTTCATGTATGTGTATATGGTTTATAATGTATGTTCTTGTATACATGTTTGTGGTTGCACATGTTTGGCATGCATGTGCCTGTGAGTCTGAGTACATGTGGTGGCCTGAGACTGATGCTGGGAATCACCATGGACTGCCCCATACCTTATTCAGTGAGGCCAGACTCTCAGCCACACTCAGAGTTCTCTGATATACCTATTTCTTGCTAAATAGCTTGTTTGGGGGACCTCTTGCTCTCCAAGGTTGGAATTATAGGTGGTCTGCCATATCCACATGGTATTTAGTGGGTTCTAGGAGTATGAGCTTCAGTCTTCATGTTCCCATGGCAAGTGCTTAACCCTGTAGCAAAGATTTAGTTCAATATTAGTCAATAAAAGGAATGGTACTATAAAGTATATTATTAAGAATTTTTAGCAAGAATTTTTATAGAAATTATTTCTAAATATATATTAAGATGAATAGTCTAATGTTGATATTTGTAAATACAAATATCTATATCAAGTGCTATAAATGTTTGATGCGCAATTTTCAAGCCTTATTATTTACTTATTTATTCCTTATTTTTTTAGTCTTGCACTACATCCTGAGCGAGTGTTGGTAGCAACAGGACAAGTTGGGAAAGAGCCTTACATTTGTGTTTGGGATTCTTACACTGTTCAGACCGTGTCGGTTCTGAAGGATGTTCATACACATGGCATAGCTTGTTTAGCATTTGACTTGGATGGACAGGTATGGGATAATTTTCCTCCTTTCTATCAATTTTTGTTTTAAAATGCTTGCTATAAGAAATCACAATGTCTATATTGTAGAATTGAAAAACAATTGATAAAAAGTATTGGTCTATTCAAAGGTGATAAAGTATAAATGAGGTGGGTGGATGACATAACTAACAAAAATAAAAACAACAAGGGGTATTGATTTCATCATTACAAAGAAGTTTCCCAGTTGCAGAAAATTTTATCAATAACTGTTTTACAGGTAAGGTATTTAGGTAGTGCATATGGAAGATGCCTTAGGAAAATTAAGTTTCACTAAGTAGAGCTGTGTATATTTTAATTTTCAGTTAAAGTTTTTCTTTTGTAATTATATTTTTACTGAAAATGAGATAATATCTATGAATTACTTTTATACAAAATCAAAGATTAAAACAATGAACACAATTATTACCCCATTGGCTGATCAGTTTCAAATTATCCTCTAACAAGCCAAGACTTTTTATAGTTCTGTATAGAAGCTGTTATGGCTAAAACATATTTTAAAAGTGCTATGGTTAATTTGTAATTGTTAAATATTTTATGTTTAAATTAGATTTTAAAGTCATTTTAACTTACAGAAAAATTTAGTTACTTGCTTTTTATTATTGTTGTAGATCTAGATCCTAATGTTGTATCTTAGAGAAAATTATAGTAGATACCCTATATGTTTTCCCCGAGGCATAGCACCTATGAGTAGCCCAGAGTCCTGTGACTTTCTGGTAAGGGATCTGTGAAGACTTCACTGGAGCCTCTCTGAAAATGTGCTTTAGGTTTCATGGTGATTAGCAATTGTGAAAACTCAAGGCATGTCCCATGTTTGGTAATATCTTTCAAGTCCTTTAAGTCTTTTCAGAAGTTCATTTTATTTCTTAAGAGAAAGAATATGTTTCTTACATCAGAGGAGCACAAAATGTTACAAAACAAATCTATAAAAATTAGTTTAAAATTCCTTTACACATAAGGTTTTGGGAAATTTAAGATTTTTAAACTGTGAGTCTGTAAGTATCCTTTAGGTATGGGTAATTTTATTTATAATGTATTGCATTGCTGATACATCCCTTCTAAGGAGAAACCACTTCCATAGTGTTTACTGCTTGGAAGCACCTCATCTTTCTTATTTTGGGCTATTTCTGTGAGAAAGCATGAGTACTTGTATTTTATCATTGTGTCTTCATGAGGGCATGTTATTAAAATTTAAGCTTTGAAAACCATAGATATGGAGTGCATACTATTATGTACCTGGCATTTTCCTAAGTCTGCATTATTTTATTTAGTCCTCATGGCAACCCTGTGAAATAGAGTCTATTATTACCTCTACATTGCAGAGAAAGAAACTGAGACTGAGAAAGGTTAAATAACTTGTTCCAGGTTAACAGCCAGTGAGTGGAATCAGAGTAGGAACCAGGTCTCACACTCCAAAGCTCATGTTTCTAACAGCAACGCTTTACTGCCTCTCAAACATGTAACTAGGAGGTAGTTGTTAATTATCAAAAGGAATTTGCCCTTGAAGAGTACAGTTAATGTCAGGAATTCCTGGAAATTGAAGATAAGGACATTATTTTAATGTCATAATTTGGAAAATATATTTGAGCAATCATACCCATTCATAAACTCCTTATAAAGTTATTGAGTAGGAAATATTGTCTAACATTTTCATTTTCTGCTGGATTAGAAAGCACATATGATAATTTTGGATTTATCCAATTAGCAATGCTAAATGTTCTTTTCCTAAAGGCTTTTTCTAAGTGAGCTGAATATACATATTAATACTAGTAACCTGTCTTCTTGAGGATAATTAAGGGCTGAAAAGTCTATTTATAGAAATCTATAATAAACAGGGACTGAAGTTTCATACAGTAATGGGAGAAAGTTGAGGTTAACTCACTTTGTAATTAATCTACAAGATAACCACATATTATAAAAAATACAGTGTTCATTCTTTTGAAAATCATGTGTGTGTGAATATACTTGCCTGTATGGGCATATGTAAAGGTCAGAGGTCCAACACTGGCATGTCTTCCTCAGCTGTCTTGACACCTTATGTTTTGAGACCGGTGTCTTACTAAACCTAGAGCCCAAATTTTCAGCTGAGACAACTGGATCCACCTGTCTCTGCCTCACAGAGCAAGCCTTACAGATCCATGCCTTACTGCTCAGCTTTTGTGTTGGTGCTGGGGATCTGAACTCGTGTCCTCGGGCTTATGCAGCAGGTACTTCATCCACTGTGTCATCTCCTCAGCCCCCAATTCTAGCAGAAACATAAGTTATAGTTAAAACTGCTCATTTCTAGAATGAGCTAGAAATGAAGTCATTTTTTACATCTAATTTCATGAAAAGCCCCAGGAGCTGGCACAAACATAAAATGTATCAGTTTGCCTTTATGAAATTTGTAATTTTCTTATAACAACAAAATGGTTAATTCTTACAGAATAAACAATGAAACCACACAACCTCCATACTAAAACTGAGCCCATTTGGTTTAAATCGTAATTCTACCCAGGTGAAGCTGTTCTAACTGGGCACTAGGTGGCATTTTTTCATTTGAGCAGAGTACACGGATTTGTAAAGCTAATTGTGGCTTATGGTAAATAGTGTTGATGAAGCTATCAAACATTTATGCAGCATTAACCATGTGCAGATACTCTTCTGACTCCTTTATATGTGATTACAATAATGTTCATATTATCCTTACAGAGTACTTTAATCATTTCCATTTAACAGGTAAGGAAATAGATACAGAGAGGTTTTAGGTAAGTTTCCCCAAGTCTCCTATGTAGTAAAGCATGGTGTTCAAACTTGCTGTCAATTCATATGCCAAATCAAGCACTGGTAAAATTTGTATAACATCGGGTAGTTAATATTTTAAGCTTCGTGGCCCATATAGTCTTTCTTGTTGCTAGTGATATCTTATTTTTTGAGATAAGGTCTATCATTGAACCTGCAACAGCACAACAGTGCATTTAAAAAGATGTCTTTATAGTTTATCTACAACTTTTAGCTTTTGGCTAGAGTTTGATTAATATACTTTCTGGATATTCATAGAACTGAAGGTCTTTCTTTTTACTTAATATGAAAAACTAAATGCGTGTACAAGTATTAATGGGATGAATACACCAATCTGCCTTAAAGGGTATTGGAAATATGAATGCATATGTTTTGATGTTATAAGTAGGATTTATTTGTGATTTATAATGTGATAGTTATTTGAATTGTCTTGAATTGTCTTTTCATTCCTTCCTGACTTTCTGGAACAAAATCCAGCGCTTGGTTTCAGTTGGACTCGATTCAAAGAACGCAGTTTGTGTTTGGGACTGGAAGAGGGGGAGAATGTTGTCTATGGCTCCTGGTCACACTGACAGAGTGAGTATCTCCTCTGGGCTTTCTAATGAATACCTGGCAAGAGAAGTCTGGCATAGAGTTCAGGGGGTTTTCTTTTGTGTCTTGTCATTGTCACATGCCATAGGTAATACAAGTTGTAAAAATAAAATTGGTACAGTTACGGGAAGAGGAAAGGGTGGGAAGGGGAAATGTGTAATGAATGACTTAAATGATAGAATTTTCTAAAACCAAGTAGTTACATTTGAACAATTCTGTAAGCATAGGAAGTACCATTGGTTTGTATACTTTTTCTTTTCCCTTTTTTTTCTTTCTTTTTTCTGAAACAGGGTTTCTCTGTGTAGCCCTGGTTATCCTTGAACTTGCTCTGTAGACCAGGCTGGCCTCGAACTCACAAGGATCCAGCTTGTCTCTACCTCTCAAATGTTGGGATTAAAGGTATGCACCACCACCCAGCTAAATGAGGAACGTTATGATATGTGGAATATTAATAAAACTTTCAAAGTAAAGTTAAAATTATACAATTATAGATACCCATAAAATGTTAGATTGTGGACCGGTGAGATGGCTCAGCTAGTAGAGGTGCCTACATTTGCATGAATATAAATAAATAAAATCTAATAAAAAATATGAGATGGCATAGCGATCATAGGACTAAAACACATGACCCACAGTGTACAGCATTAGTTTGAAGCTTGGCTGCATGCTTGTTTCGGTAGAAACTTTATTTTTAATTTTTAAACAGTTTTATTGAAGTATAATAATTAATAAAGGCCTGCAGATTTTTAATTTGTACTGTTTGAAGAGTTATGTATATGAAAACATAAATTATTCACATATCAACTTTAAATTAAATGGTCTGTTTAGTTTGGCTTAACAGTATGTTGCCTATGCATTATAATTAAGGGAAAATGATGTTGCTTGTGTAAATTTAAAATTATGCTAGGAATGTTGCTGTGTGGAAGAGTGGTTGCCTCTAGCATGCATGAGGCCATGTTTGACCCCAGATCTGTAATAAATAAATAAGATGAAAGTTTAGAAACTTAACGTTTTTTACTTTTCAAATTTGTGAAGATATATATATATATACATATATATATACATATATATATACTTTAGATAGGTTATATAAGATTAATGTTAAGAGTACTTTGTAACTGGGTGTTAGTGAAGCATGATTTTAATCCTAGCACTTGGGAGGCAGGCAGATCTCTGTGAGTTCAAGGCCAGCCTCATCTACAGAGAGTGTTCAGGACAGCCATGGCTGCACAAAGAAACCCTTTCTCAAAACAGAAATGAACAACAACAACAAAAAAGAATATTTTGTAATCAAGACTTTGTTTCTTTGTTTTTGAGACAGGGTCTTTCTCTATAGTCCTGGCTGTCCTGTAACTCACCCTATAAAACATGCTGTCTTCAAATCCACAAAGATCTACCTGCTTTGCCCCCGAGTGCTGGGATTAAAGGCCTGAATACTAACAACCATGCCCAGCCTTGTAATTAAGTTTTAAATTAAGTGCTGTAATTTTTTGAACCTAGATCAAAATTTAGGTAAACTCTTAAAAATCTCTACTTTTTTTTTACAAGAATAGTGACAGTGATACTAGTTTATAAGCATCTGTAAATGTTTTGTGGGTAATTTTGTATGTTTTTGCAGTTTGGAGAATATACTTGATTTTGGAAAATTCTTTAAGGAGACTATTACATGGCCACTAATGACTATTAAAATGTTACCTATGTCTTATTAGACAACCTTATTCTAACTTACTTGGGTCAAAGTATTTCATAAATTTGGTACCTTGAATCTGCAAACCAATTTTTGTAAAAATGGTGCCGAATGATAATGGAATTCTAAAAAGTGTTGTCATTAGTATTTTAAAATTGCATCCGTGTTTTTCCATGTAGTGTCTATTATGGTGAGTTGTCAGGAAGTGTCTTGTAAGGTGCACTCTTCACTGTTTTGGAGAGCATCGCTTTGTAGATTTTTAGAGCTAACAGATTTCTTAGGTTAAGTTACACAATGGCCAAAGAAACTTATTGAAGAGCACAGTATTCAGCAGAGCAAATGGATGATAGTCTTTATTTCATTTGTTGCTTGATTGTCAGTTTCTATTGGATATTATGATTCACCTGAGTTTTTTTGTAACAATGTGGTTTGTGTGTACTTTGAATCTATGGAATATTAGGTGTGAATAAAGCATAGGGACTCTTAAAAGTTAAAAAAGTGTAAGTTAACTCTGTTTGACCTATAAACAATGAGAAAGTTAAAAAAAGGATAAAAACTTCTGTGAAATGAATGTTTGGATCTTTTATTAAAGTAGTTCTGATTAAAAATGTAGAAGTGCCCTAAATATCTCAGTATTGAGTGTGGAGTTTTGCCTCTGTAAAAATCCTCAAGCGTCAGCCTCTCGCTCTAGTTCTGTTGAACCATTCGTTTTACTTACTTGGATCCAAGTATTCTTTAAAAGTTAAAAATGAAAGTGTTAAATCTACTTTATTAGCTGTCCTGTAAAGTTAACCAAACTAAGGAATTGCTCTTATTCCTTATTATCATACTTATCGTTTTCTCATAAGATTTTTAAATGCTATAGTTTCTGATAAATGAGGGTTTAACCCAATTCATTGTTTGGCATGATCCTTAAATGATACCAACTATTTTAACCATTAATTTGATTTGTTTACAGATATTTGATATATCTTGGGATTTGTACCAGCCAAATAAACTTGTCAGCTGTGGTGTAAAACATATCAAGGTACAAGAAGGCGCCTTCTTTTATAGCAATCATTTTTTTTTGTTTTCTGTTGCTACATATACATCACATCATTAGCCATTTAGGATAGTTACAGAATTCTAACAAGACTTGTTTTTAAAAATGTCAACTTTTTAATACTTATGTCTAGTTTAGCAAGTGCTTAAGGTGTAGTTATTTTGAGACATCATATGGGTGTAAGTTTTAAAAGGGAAGTAATGAGCCACTCTCTATTAGGAAACACAGTCTAGCAAGATAGAATCTACTGCACTCACCTTGTTTCTTCATATTTCACGTGCAAAGTGAGCTGTAAGAATAGGAAATCAAACAAAAAGAGTTTTTCATCTGCAGAGATACTATTGCCTCATAGAAGCAACGTGCGTATCACTCCTGTCACTTATGAGATACTTAACCTATGGGAGTCATTTAACCCAGCCAGGTGTTTTTCCACATTTTGAAGCTATGACAGTTCTTACCGTCTTCAAAGTTGATGATTTAAAAGGCAGCATATGTTCAAATGCTTTTTATAGTGCCCAGCTAGGGTTATCTTCCTTTTTCTATATTTGCTATCAGAAGGGACTAACACCTTGATAGTTACTGTGTATTTGTTTATGCAAGCTGTAGGTTTTGTTTTGCTCTAGATTTTGAAGCCTATGATGTCAGTGGAAATATCCATTTCTTTACATATTTTATTGAAAATAGATTCTTTTTCACACACTATATCATAGTTATAGTTTTGCCTCCTACATCTTCCAGTACCTCCCCTCCTCACCTCCCTCTAGATCTACTCCCTTTCTGTGTCTCATTAGAAAAGAACAGGCTTCTAAGGGATAACAACCACACAATATGTTTATAGTTATCTTTAAATCACTGGTGCAAATGCCAGATACTTGTTGTTCTTCTTCTACTGCTTTGTGTAATTGCACCTGAAACAGTTAATTCCTAGTAAGAATCTGTGTTCTGACTTTCTTATCTGTTTGTCTTCCTTGCTTGCTCCCCAAGGCTTTAAGCATAGATTTTAATCGCTGGGAAGATAAATATCTTTGTCTTTATATCCAATATGATTCTTGGTACAGTGATAGATAAATAGATAGATAGATAGATAGATGTGCTAACTTATTAGACATGTATGTTTGTACATAATATGTTAAATGTCTAGTAAGTAGTTGACAAATTAATAACAAAGATCTTACTGATGATTTATGTTGTAAATAAAGCTAAAACTTTTAAAAAATAATGAATTCTTCTCCCATATATTATATCCTATCCATAGTCCTTTCCCCTCTTCCCTCCCCCTACACTTTCTAGTCCCTCCCCCGACTCTGCTGTCCTCCAGATCCACTCCTCTTCCTTTTCCCTTCACAGGGGTCTCCAAGGCATATCAACCAAACAGGGTATAAAAAGTTGTAATAAGAGTAGGCACATACCCTTACATCAAGGCTGGATGGAGCAACCCAGTAGGAGGAACGGGTCCTAAAAGCAGGCAAAAGAGCCAGAGACAGCTCCTACTCCCACTGTTAGGAGGCTCACAAGAACACCAAGCTACACAACCATAACATACATGCAGAGGGCCTAGGTCAGGCCCATGCAGGCTCCCTGATTGTTGCTCGTTTCTGTGAGCTCCTATGAGCCCAGGTTAGTTGATTCTGTGGGCTGTGTTCTTGTAGTGTCCTTGACTCCTCTGGCTCCTACAATCCTTCCTCTCCCTCTTCCTCAGCATTTCCCAGGTTTCATCTAATGTTTGTCTGGATATCTGCATTGATTCCCATCAGTTGCTAGGTTAGGCTTCCCTGATAACGATTGTGCTAGGCTCCAGTCCACATGTATAGCAGAATATCATTAGGAATCATTTCATTGACATTTTTATTTTTATTTGTATTGTGCCAGTCGTATTTGGTTCTATCTTAGGTCTCTGGGTTGTCCAGCCTCAGGTTTCTGGCTCTCCAGGCAGTGTCAGGCATGGGCTTTCTCTTGTGATGTGGGTCTCAAGTTGGAGCCGTCATTGGTTGGCCACTCCCACAAGTTCTGTGCCACCTTTACCCCAGCACGTCTTGTAGGCAGGACAAATTGTAGGTTGAAGGTTTTGTGGCTGAGTAGCTGTCCCAGTCCCTCCACTGGAGGCCTTGCTTGGTTGCAGAAGATGGCTGGTTCAGGCTCTGTATCCCCCATTACTAGGACTCCTCGCTAGGATCACCATTGCAGATTGCGGGTGTTTCCATTGCACTAGGTTTCTCCCTTGCCCCTGAAATGCTCCCCTTCCGGTCATCTCTCCCAGTACTCTCTCCCTTCATGCCCTCCCAACCGGATCCCTCCTGTTCCCATCTCCATCTGCCCTAAGTCAGCCTGCAAAATCCATTCCATTTTACCTTCCCAGGGAGATCAGTGTGTCACCCCACTCCTGCTTGAATCCTCCTTGTTACTTTGCTTTTCTGGGTCTGTGGATGGTAGGATGATTATCCTTTACAGCTAATATCTACTTATAAGAATACATACTTTGTCTTTCTGGGTCTGGGTTATCTCTGGATGATTTTTTTCTAGTTCCATCCATTTGCCTACAAATTTCATAATGCCATTGTTTTTAAGAGATGAATAGTACTCCATTGTGTAAATGTACCACATTTTCTTCATGTATTCTTTGGGTGTGGGACATCTAGGCTGTTTCCAGGTTCTGGAGATTATAAATAAAGCTGCTAAGAACATTGTTGAGCAAATGTCCTTGTGGTATGATAGTACATTCTTTGGGTATATGCCCAAGAGTGGAATAGCTGGGTATTGTGGTAGATTGATCCCAGTTCTCTGAGAAACCGACACTCTGATTTCCACAGTGACTGTTACCAGTTTGTACTCCCACCAGCAATGGAGGAGTGTTTCCCTCGCTCTATATCCTCTCCAGCAAGAGCTGTAACTTGTGTTTTCCATCTTAGCCATTCTTATAGGTGTAAGGTAATCTCTCAGAGTTGTTTTGATTTGAATTTCTCTGATGATTAAAGATGCTGAACATTTCCTTAAGTGTTTTTCAACCATTTTGAGATTCCTCTGTTGAGAATTCTCTGTTTAGATCTGTACCCCATTTTTTAGTTGGACTATTTGGTGTGTTTATGCCTAGTTTCTTGAGTTATTAAATATTTTGAATATTAGCCCTCTGTCAGATGTGGAGTTGGTGAAAAATTTTCCCCATTCTGTAGGATGCTGTTTGTCTTAATGATAGTGTCCTTTGCCTTATAGAAGCTTTTCAGTTTCTTGACGTCCCATTAATTAATTAATTGTTCATTTTAGTGCCTACACTATTGGTATTCTGTTCAGGAATCTGTCTCCTGTGTCAATGTATACAAGTCTATGTGCCACTTTCTCTTCTATTAGGTTCAGTGTATCTGGTTTTATGTTGAGGTCTTTAATCCACTTAGACTCGAATTTTGTTCAGGGTGATAGATATGGATCTATTTGCATTCTTCTACATGCTGACATCCAATTAGACCAGCACCATTTGTTGAAGATGCTTTCTTTTTTCCATTGTATATTTATGGCTTCTTTGTAAAAAAACAAAAACAAAAAACAAAAAAATCAGGTGTGATTAACCTGTCTGTTTTTATGCCAATACTATGCGGGTTTTATTACTATAACTCTGTAGTACAGCTTGAAATCAGGGATGATAATACCTTCAGAAGTTCTTTTACTGTACAGAATTGCTTTAGCCATACTGTTGTTTGTTTGTTTTTCCATATGAAATTGAATATTGTTCATTTAAGATCTGTAAAGACTTGTATTGGAATTTCAGTGGGGATTGGATTGCTTTTGGTAAAATGGCTGTTTTTACTGTGCTAGTCCTCCTGATCCATGAGCATGGGTAATCTTCCCAGTACAGTGTCCAAATTTCTTGGATGTTTTGTGTCAGGGGTTTTTTAGATTTAACATTTTCTTTGACCATTGTATCTGTTTCTTCTATTCTATATTCAATGCCTGAGATTCTCTCTTCCATCTCTTATATTGTGTTGGTATTGCTTGATTCTGAACTTACCTAGATTTTCCATTTCCAAAATTCCCTAAAGCTAAACTTTTTATTTTTAGATTTTTTTTAAAAGAGCTTAGCTGCTGAGACTAAGTATATTATGAATTACATTTCTTTTCCTTTGGTAGTGACAGTGAGTAGTAAGGTGGCATTTTTATGCCAGCAGTACATGCAAGGAAACTTAAGTCCCAAAGGTAATCTAAAATTGTGCTACCTAGTACAGTAGCCACTAGGATATATGGGAATTTAAGTACAAACTCAAATGAAATGATATTTAAAATTCATTTCTTCAGTCATAAGCCACATTTCAAATACTCAAAAACCACATGTTTCTGGGGGCCACTGTATTGGAAATCATGTGTATATACATTAGACATATATTTATCCATATATACACATATATTTGTCAAGAAGGGAGAGGGAAATTTCCATTTTCACTGAGATTCTATTTGACAGAACAGAAGGGTTAGCTCCTGCTGGGTCTCAAAAGCTCTTGGAAGCTTAGACTTTATTCCTCAAAGATTGTATTTCATTTCATCTCAGTGGGTGTTCGGGAATCGTAAATCTCCCCAGGTGACTCTAATGTGAAGCCAAGATTGAGAATCACTGAGCCGGAAGAAAATAATAACATCAAATTGGAACTGGGTGAAAGGGCAAGAGCAACTATTCTTGTGAATATAAATTATAGATGGTGCTTTTAGGTTTAGAAGTCATAACATTTCACACATTAAAGCACTCATTAATTTTGTGAATGGATGAGTACCATAAGTTTTAGTTCTGTGAGGCTTCAGACTTTAAAATTTAAGGATATAATATTAAAAATATATTAAATGGTAATTTCCTTTTTATAATATAATATTCTAGGGACCAAATTTCTTTATTTAGAACTATTTCATGTATAAATCCATGACCTACCACATTCAAACTTTTTCTCTGTGCAGACAATAAAAACTTATTGAACACTGTATAATAAAATAATAAGGCTAGCCATGATGACTCATGCTTGAATTTATCTTCTCTCAAGGATAAACTGGTCATTTCTAATGGGTATCTTATTTGTAACCTTTACAAAGCTGTTATTCATCTTGAGACTATCAATGAAAATAACGTATGTTCTTTCTTTCTGTCCTCTCTCCCATCTTAACTGTTTGTATCAGATTCGACATAAGATTTTCCCTACCTTTATGACACTGGAGATCGAAGCCAGGACCTTGCACACACTAAGCAGATTACTGTCTTCTGAGCTATATTTCCAGCCTTCATCTTCATTTTCATTCCTAACTCACTCCCAGCTTTTTAACCCAAATTGCATGTAGATTTTTTAAACCGAGCTTTTTTGAAATATAAGATTCTATTTATTAATTCTTTGAGAACTTCGTATAGACGTACAGTGTATCTTGATCATATTCACTCCCAATCCTCTCCCTAACTTCTCCCAGATTTATCCCCTATCACTCCAACTCCTCTCACTCAGAAAGTGGTTGGTTAACTCCCTGACATCCATGACACTATTGCACTCAAAGCATAAGCAAGGCATGCTGGCCATTATTATAATCACAGGCTTCACAGTAGGGTAAGACTGTTTGATGGCGTTTTCTTCCCAGCAGGTTATGTAACACTTTCTGATGCATGAAAGGTAGCAAGCAGGAAGGAAACTTTCTGGTTAGTACTAACCTGATTGCTGTGTGATCTGTGTCCAGAGTGTGTGTTGTCTTCAGCAATCGGGACTTACACCATCATGTTCTGGTTGGTAACCAGAAGTGGTGGGAGTAAACTATATTGTTTTGGAATATCTAGGACACATTAGACTAACAGCTTTAGAACAATTATTTTTGGTACGGATCTTTTTGTTTGTCATCTATGACTTTTGGGAGGAGCATTATCCCCTGTGTAGGGAAACCCCAGTTTAATTCTTTTATGTGAAAACACACACCCACACCCACACACACACTTAGAAAGCTTATAAAATAGTAGGTTTCCATATGGCTTTTTACCTCCTTCAGGTTAAACCTATTCCTTTGCCCTCCACTTCCATCCCTCTCACCATTCAAATATAGCTTTAAATAAAAATGTTAGTTCAGATTCCTTACTCTTACAGATAAAGATTGAAACTAGTGAGTAATCTGCTATAATAGCTTGTGGCAACACTAGGATGAGAATATGAACACTGAATGTTACTTTATCATAAGGCAACTAACTGCTTTAGGTAATTTCTAGTTTGCTACCATAGTATAGCATAGAATTATTGAAAATATTTTACTTGGTTTTATAAGCATTATTTGATAATATGCATATACTGTATACATTTTAGTTCTGGAGTTTGTGTGGAAATGCTCTGACCCCCAAACGAGGAGTTTTTGGTAAAACAGGTGACCTGCAGACAATATTGTGCCTAGCCTGTGCTCGGGATGAATTAACATATTCTGGTGCACTCAATGGGGACATATATGTTTGGAAAGGAATCAATCTTATACGAACAATACAAGGAGCCCATACTGTAAGTATATTTGAATATTTTAAATACTTTTAGATGCTTACCACTTAACTTTCTTAAAACAAGCTATCTAATATAGCCTGTTGCTAGTCAGTTCAGTTTCTTGAAAAATGCTATTCTAACAATTTGTTTTTAAGACTTCAATTAAGAAGCATGTAATTAGACTCATACATATCTATTAACTTAGTATAATTATCATCTTGTTAAAAACCATTATTATAACAGTGTCAGAATAGTGGTGAGTAAAGTTTGTTGACTTTAGCCATAGAGTTTTCTAGATTAGCTTTAGTAAAATAAAGCTAGTGTTGGTAAGGCCAACTTAACCAGTAGGCAATTTGGGAACATATAGGAAAAAAACAAACAAACCAAAACCATAGACTCATTAAGCCAGGGAAGAAGGGATTTAATATTTTTGATTGATTAAATTATTTATTTACTTTGTACATGTGGGTGTTTTGCTTGTACATCTGTGTGTGCCTGGTGCCTTTGAAGGTCAGAAGAAGGTGTAGGATATCCTAACATTGGAGTTACACACCATTGTGAGCTTCTATGTGGCTGCTAGGAATTAAATGCAGGTCCTCTGGAAGAGCAGCCAGTGAGCTTAACCTCTGAGCCATCTCTCTAGTCCCTGGGATTTTGCTTTTGATTTTCTTTTCATCATTTTATTTATTTGTTTTACATACCAACCATAGTTTCCCCTCCCTCCTTTCCTTCCACTCCCTCCCCCCCAGCCCCCTTTACACCCCTACCCCCAATCCACTCTTTTGCCATCTCCACTTAGATGGGGTAAGGTCTCCCCTGGGAATCAACAAAGCATGGTACATCAAGCTGAAGCAGGACCAAGGATGAAATAGCCATAGAGAATAGGTTCCAAAGAGGCTGGGATGTTTTTTTTAATTCATGAGTTTTTCATATAATTTAGTCAAAAAAGTATATTGTTAAAACTATTGTGTGATTTTTAAATTCAAATTGTTTAGCAGTTGAATTGCCTCTCCTCAAACAGCAAAGGGGGTTAGTTAGCATAAAAAGATTGTCAACTTAAAAGTGCTAAAAAAAAAAAAAAGTGCTAAAGAACTATTTATGATTGACTTGCTGTAAGCAAAGTGTCTGGAAACAAAACTATAATTTTTTTTTCACAAAAGTTGTGATAATTCATATTATAACCTCTGGTATTTAAAAACACTAGTTCCCCCCTGTCATATTTTTCAGTATAGAATATGAAGTGCTGAAAATGTTTGCTTATCTTCTGGAAGAAAAATGCTAACTTCTTTGAAATGTCGTTTTTTATTAGTTACCCTTTTTGTTTTTCACTCTTGTTTGGTTGGTTGTATTAAGGCTTTTTTGTTTTGTTCATTTGTATGTTAAAGATATGTGGTTTTTCAATATATACATTACAATTGAGGGCCAGGGATGTAGCTCAGATAGAATGCTGGTCTAGCATTACAGAGTCCTGGGATCAATTCTAGTATGCACATACCCACGCCGAAAAATAGAAGTTTTTTCCTTTATGGTTTATAGTTTTCTTTATCATGGATTAAAAGGTCTTTTAACTCAGTTAGATGAGTATTGTGATTTTTTACACTTACTACACCTACATTTTTGCCTTCTAGAATTCATTTTATATATAGTATACTATTTAACTTTCTTTTGTGTTATATACATATCTTTAAAATACTGCCTCAACTACATATTGACTTTATAATGATGTATTATATTTTTGTGTGTCTTTTGGTATGTTTGTCTATGCTTCATAAGAAAATATTGCTGAGTGAGTTTATTTAGTAGATTTTTCTCCCCCAAGATAGGGTTTCTCTGTGGAGCCCTGGCTGTCCTGGAACTCACTCTGTAGACCAGGCTAGCCTCAAACTCAGAGATTCATTTGCCTCTGCTTCCCAAGTGCTGGGACTAATGGTGTGCACCACTATTATTTGGTTTAGTAGATGTTCTTAAAAAGTTTATGTTGCTAAGTTGTTTTCTACCTTCACCTAGGCGGGAATTTTTAGTATGAATGCTTGTGAAGAAGGCTTTGCTACTGGTGGCAGAGATGGCTGTATTCGTCTTTGGGATTTAGCTTTTAAACCAATTACTGTGATTGATCTCAGGGAAACAGACCAGGGATACAAAGGTAATAGTAAAATGAATGTGTGTGCTAAGCATGAATGTGTGAATGAACCAGTGGTTGTGTCTCAGCACACACATGTTCTCTATACATCCCACCTGGAGGACATCTGTTGATCGCTGTGGTCACTATATTGCCAAACGTTCTGTTGTGTGCCTAATGCCTGTTGTAACGAGATCAACAGAGACATCTGATAGACTTTACTTTTTTAACTGTGGATTTTGAAAATATTTTACTATTACAATGCTAAATAGAGCTATTTGCCAAATAACTACATAAATAAAATATATTGGGAATTGGTAAACTTTTGTTGATGATTTAAGTCAATTTTCTTTATTCAGACTTTACTCTTTCAGTAATTAGAGGACTTAAAAATAAACACAATACAATAGATTCTCAGTGTAACATATTAGTCACTAATATGCCATTGAATTACAATACTAAGATCGGAAGTAACACGTTTAGATCAAATTTTCTTAAAATACTATTTAAATAATATTTGTGTCATTGTAGAGATGTATAACTCTGATCTAATTGTTTAATCTCATCTGTAATGTAAGGCCATTACAAATATCTCCTAGTTTTAAATGAATTAATACACGTTAGTTATTTAGAATGTTTAGTACATAGCTGCTACTCTATTTTCATTAGTTTAGATGAGCATTATTCTGAAGCTTACAAAATAATGTCATTCCTTTTAATTTTATTCTCAAGATGATATTATGAGATATATAGTGTCTTTATATTGACAATGTTATTTAAATTTAAATGGGAAAGTTTTTCATATGGGTCCAACAGCAACTGTCGGAAATGCAGATACAGTGAAAGTAAATAGTCTCTTTCCTTAAATCTCTTGATAAGTAGATTTAAGAAGTGCAAAATAGTGAGAAATCAGGTTCGTACAGAAAATACACAATGCAGTTCTCGAAAGTCAGGGTCCTGAGCACTTACCTATTGTAAGTGCTTGTGAGAACTTGACTACAAACACAGTCTGACTCTCAGAATTGTGTAGCAAGGGAGAAGGAATAAGTGTTCTAAAGGATGGGTAGAAATTAGATATCTGAAAAAAGAAAACTATTATTACTCATGGAAAAGAATACAAACTATTGAGGACAATGGGAGTGTGAGCCCAGACTTTTGTATTCTGTCTTGCAACAAAATATGAAAGATATGAGAATTAATTTCCAATTAAGACTGCATTTTATTACTGTAACATTAGTATTTTTTATTTTTATTTTATTTTATTTTTTTTGGTTTTATGAGACAGACAGAGTTTCTCTGTATTGCTTTGGAGGCTGTCGGACCAGCCCGGCCTCAAACTCACAGAGATCCGCCTGCCTCTGCCTCCTGAGTGCTGGGATTAAAGGTGTGCGCCACCACCGCCCAGCTCTGTAACATTTGTATTAAATGTGTTTTTTTTACCAGGTTTATCTGTGAGGAGTGTTTGTTGGCGAGGTGACCACATTTTAGTTGGAACGCAGGACAGTGAAATTTTTGAAATTGTAGTGCATGAAAGAAACAAACCTTTCCTAATTATGCAAGGGCATTGCGAAGGTGAACTTTGGGCACTTGCTGTTCATCCTACTAAACCTTTGGCTGTGACGGGGAGTGACGATCGTTCAGTCAGGTAAGTAAATCATTTCTCAGTAATTCAGACTGTAAGAACTAATATCTATTAACTAAACATATTTGTGATCATGCACCTTAAATGCATTGTGGCCAGAACCAGGGTTAAGATAAATGATAAGATGTGTTATTATAAAATAATGAAATTCATGAATGTGCCTTCTTTAATTTGAAATTGCTTTCTGTTTTGTTTCAGGGAAGGTAAACAATAATGTACTTTATATTTTCAAATGAAAAAAAAATGTATTGTGGCCAGGTGGTGGTGGCACATGCCTTTAATCCCAGCATTCTGAAGGGTGGATCTCTATGAGTTTGAGGCCAGCCTGGTCTTCAGAGTGAGTTCCAGGACAGGGCTACACAGCTAGGGCTACATAGAGAAACCCTGTCTTGAAAAACAAACAACAACAACAACAAAAATGTATTGTGCATGCCTGTGACCTGCCATTGTGCTTGGGTGTGCATATGCATACACACAAGTGTAAAATTTGTTCTAAACTCTACCTCTGTGATGGTAGGTAAGCTGTAGGCATGTGTAAACAAATGAGTATGTCTGTGTTCCTATAAAACCTTATTTATAGACATGAAATCTGAACTTTGCATATTTTCTTATGCTTTATAATTTTATTTTTATGATAAAATATATAAAATGCATCCTTAGTTCTCAGTCTATAAAAACATGCAGCCGTCTGATTTGTCCCAGAGGATGTGTTTACCGATACTTGTGGTACAGAATAAGAAATTTGTAGCCAACACAGCACTTAATGTTGCAGCAGTGAAACTTTGTGGTCAGGAAAGACAGATTCATCAGTGCACAGTGAATGATTGGGGTAAAGGGCAAAGAGTGATAGAGAGAGAGGGGGAAAGGAGTAAAGGAGAGTGATTGGAAAGAAAACGTTTATACATAGGCAATATAACTGGATATGTAGAAGAGTCCCAAGGAAATGCAAATAAATTTGTAGGATTAAAAGGGAATTGGTGGAGCTGCAAAGATAGCCCCGTGGTTAAGAGTGCTTGCTGCTCTTTCAGTAGGCCATGAGTTTGGTTCCCAGTAGCCACAATGGACAGCTCACAACCACCTGTATGTATCCGGAGCTGTCTTTTGGCTTCCTTGGGTACTTGTATGCAAGTATTCAGACACATAACATTAAAAAAAAGTTTAAAGGAATTAGCAAATATCTTATATAAAAGATTATAAAACTAGTATAGAAAAATTATTATTCAGGCTGGAGAGATGGCTCAGTGGTTAAGAGCACTGGCCGTTAGCTGTTCTTTCAGAGGTCCTGAGTTCAATTCCCAGCACCCACATGGTGGCTCACAACCATCTGTAATGAGATCTTGTGCTCTCTTATGGCCTGCAGCAACAAGTTTTTTTTGTTGTTTTTTTTTTGTTTGTTTGTTTTAAGAAATGCCTATGAAGGCATTGTAAAAAAAAATCTATTTCTCACCGGGTGGTGGTGGCGCACGCCTTTAATCCCAGCACTCGGGAAGCAGAGGCAGGTGGATCTCTGTGAGTTTGAGACCAAGCCTGGTCTACCAAGAGAGTTCCAGGACAGGCTCCAAAACAATGCAGAGAAACCCTGTTTTGAAAAACCAAAAAAAAAATCTATTTCTCTTTGCTGATCTTTTCTCTAACTTCTTGGAGTAGATGCTTATTCTGTATAGATTTGTTTTGATTATAACATGTATAGTCAAAGGTTCTAAATGTTCCCCTCCATATTTCAACTATAGTCCCTGAGTTTCATCACTGTGTTAACATGGTGACAGTTTGTTTTTCTATTATTTTTTACTTGTAAATGCGTGCATATGTGTGTATGCTGCCTGTGTTCTGAGTGCTCATGGAGGTGAGAAGAGGGTATTAGATCCCTTGGAGCTGGAGTTACAGGTGTTCTGAGCTACCTGTGTGGGTGCTGGAACCTTAACTCAGGTCCTCTGAAAGAGCAATACACTCTTCTAACTGCTGAGTCACCACACTAGATCTCAAGTCCACAACTTTTGATTTGAATTTATCTTAATTTTTAATATTGTAGTGTGGAATAGTATTGTAGTCTCAATGTGAATATTTTAAGTACTCCATCTAGAAGACTACATATATCCTTATTTCCCTTAGGGTCTTTTTGTTTGTTTGTTTTTTGAGGCAGCGCCTCACTATGTAGCCCTGGCTGACCTCCAACTCACAGAGATCTGCCTGCCTCTACCTTACCAGTGCTGGAATTAAAGGTGTATAATCCTATGCCCAGTCCTAGGTATATAGTTTAAGGGATTATATAGCTCTCTTTTGATTAGGGTAGAGATTACTAATCAATCTGAGATTAACAATCGAATCATAGTGATGTCAATATGCTTTTGTATTTTTTAAAAAACGTTTGCTGTTGCCCGTGCATGTGAGAGTGAGTGTGGACTCATGAATGCCATTGGCACATAAGGAGGTCAGGCAGCTTTTGGAAGCGGGATTTCTCCTTTCATTAAGGGCTCTGGGGATTGTGCTACAAACAATTTTACCTTTAGAGTCACCTCACTATCCCTGCTATATTATTTTAAAAACAAAAATTCTAATATTCTCTTTCATCTTAATCATGAATAATATTGCTGTTTTCATAGAGAAAAAAGTCTGACATTAAACCAGATTGTTTTAACTTTAATATTCTTATATAGATTATCATGATACAGTACACATTAATTATTTTTATTTTTGAATTCAATTGTACAGGATTTGGAGCCTTGTAGATCATGCTTTAATAGCAAGATGTAATATGGAAGAACCAATTCGATGTGCTGCTGTCAATGTAGATGGAATCCACCTTGCCTTGGGAATGAAGGATGGGTCATTCACTGTCCTTAGAGTGAGGTATGCTATTAGAGTAGAAACAGAAGCAGTAATTTATTGTTTTGTTGGAATGTACAGTACTCATTGCTCTTGCCAACTTACCATCTCTTTCCCTCTTCTTTATATGTGCTCCAAATAGTAATTTCATTAAATGAATATGCATATAAAATATCTTTGTTAGAAAATTAAACTCAAGAACTTTTATCTAGGACATTAAGAATGCTTAGCAAATGTGTTGGAGAGATGGCTCAGTGGTTAAGAGAGCTTCTCTTCGCTGGGCGTTGGTGGTGTACGCCTTTAATCCCAGCACCCAGGAGGCAGAGGCAGGTGGATCTCTGTGAGTTCAAGGCCAGCCTGATCTACAGAGCGAGTTCCAGGACAGCCTCCAAAACAATACGGAGAAACCCTGTCTTGAAAAGAGCTTCTCTTCTTACAAAGGGACTGGGTGGCTCACAACCACTTGTAACTCTAGCCCTAGGGGGTCTGACTCCAGTCTTCTGGCTTCTACAGGCTCCTGCACTTGTAGTACACATACCTCAAGCACACACACAGACATATGCATAAAAAAGAAATCTTTTATTTAAAAAATGAATGCTTAGTACAGTGGTGGCTGAAGCTCTGAACTACAAATGTGGGTCCTGACTTGCTGTTGGTATTATTATTTTCAGTTACGATCCTCTGTCATTAAACATTCTCAAGGCTATGAGAAATGAGTAGTGTTTTGTATGCTTGTTTGTATCTTTGTGCTTTGAAAAAAATACCTGTATCCTTTCTTTTGTGTAACTAGAAATGCTTAAGGAATTAATTAAAAGGCTGGGACTTTAATCCCAGCACTCAGGAAGCAGAGGTAGGTGAATTGCTTTGAGTTCGAAGCCAGACTGCCCTACCTACTGAGTTCCAGGCCAGCCAAAGCTACATAGGGAAACCCTGTCTTAAACAAGTAAACAAACCAACCAACAAACAAAGAATTTGTTAAAGCTGTTGCTAATTTATGTCAAACTATAGGTAGATACATTGAGTGTCTCTCCTTTATAGTCATTATAAACAGTGCTGTAGAGTCACAGCATGTTCACAAAACAGTGTTTATGAAATCTTTCTTCTCTGGCACAGTAATCTTCTACCCAGAACTGTTTAATTCATGTTTTTACTTTGCCTCTCTTGTTGAAGAGTCTCTTCCACAGAAGCTGTCAAGTTCATTTCCTTCCTTCCAGTTTCACTGTTTTGCTCTTCTGTAGGCTTTGTCGTCTCTTCACAGGATCAGTAGAATAGCCCTCTTAACTGCTCTCCTTACCATCTCAAAACCATTCCGCACTGCCATGATAGAGACTCCTTCTTTCTTTATTAATTAAATCTGTACTTTGACCATTTCATTCACATTTATAATGCATTCTGGCTCCTTTCATTCCCTACCATGTGTTAGCTCTCTGCCCCCACCATCAACCCTTCTTCCCTACAAGACTCTTCCCCACACTCATTCTTTTTGCTTTGTTTTCTGACCATGAAAAGTAACCAGGGCCCTCTGTGTGACCATGGGTTTGGAACTCTACTGGAGCCTGATGGTGCCATTAGTGGTTATGTAACTGAAGACGACTCCCTCTCACCCAGCATGCATGTCTATAGCCAGTAATTCAGCAGGGTGGGTAGGGTCCTATGAATCCCCTCCTCTGTCTGTAAGTGACTAGGTAAGGCCACTGATGCCTTTCTTCTCCAGCAACCTGCATTGCATTCCCTGCACTGTGGGAGTTACATCAGGGAGGAAGTTCCCAACTCACTTCTAGCTTGATTTTAGAGATTTGTTTTAAGTCACACTTTTTGTATTTATCCTCTTTCCAACGGCTTTCTGCTCCTTAGGCTGAAGTTTGTAAACCTTGACATGGTGTACAGGGTCCATCTCTCTGATCTGTTTTTCTGTACCTCATTATGTTTTATTCTTTTTTTCTTCACCACTAGGCCTGATGGTGCAGACTTGTAATCTTAGCTGTTCAGGGGGCTGAGGCAGAAAGATTGTGAGTTGAAAGCCTGCCTGGACTTGAGTGAGTTCAAGGCCAGCCTACTTAACTTTGTGACTCTAAATAAATAAATAAATACTTAGGCTGTAGTGAAATAGTAGAGCACTCACCCAGCATGTATAAAGCTCTTGGTTTGATTCCCAGTATGGAAAATGAAAGTAGGTTTTTACAGTGGGATGTGCTATAATTTTTCTCTTAAAAATGTTTTTTATTTAATGTCGTATTTGTTTTTAATCAGTGTAGATGTCCAGTGATATTAAATACATCCACATTAGTATGTCACTACTATCATCTCTAAAACTTTTGATATTTCTGTGTGGATACAGCTTGGCATACTGCAGCCATCTTGATTTAGAACCACCGTATTGATCCAGGTTAACTTTAATCAGCATTTCCTGTATAGTTTTCCAGCATGCCACAAATACACAAAGTCTACATAACTCATGTAGAGCTTTCAACCAGATCCTGGCACTGGGAAAGTACCTGACTCCTTGACATTGGAAGATAAACTTGATGATGTTGTTTTTGTCCCTTGTCCTAGCCCAGGTTGTGTGGTTGAATGTGGGCTTACTGATGAACATTTGTTTCTATAATTCCCAAAATTTCACTCTGCAAACCTGGATTTGTCTGCCTGGCTTTCTTTGGTTTCACTGTATCTAGTTTATCTTTAACTTCATTGTTTTCTGCTTTTCCCACTAATTTCTGTATCCACATCATACTGATTGTGCATCACTCTTCAAATACACCACACACTGAGTCTTTCCGTGCATGTTTGTGCTGTGTCTTATTCCTGAAGAACCTTCTCTCCTCTTTTAGACTTAACCAGCACCTCATGTCTTATGCTCAAGTCAGATTTACCCTGCTGTGGCTACTTCCTGCTTTCAATCTAGTCTTAGTCTGCCTTTCAGTGTTTCTTAGTTTTAAATTTTCCACTTGAGCAGTTGCTACATATTGTCATAGCTGTTTTATGTCCATCTCTCACGCAGGGTCAGATACAGTTTGAATCCCTTATATTAGAGCAACATAAGTGTTCAGTGCTATTAACAATATCTGAATATTTGCTCTGACCTCCATTTAAAAACTTTAAGAATGAAGAAACACGCTTCTGCTTCTGACATTGCCCACCTGGAGCATTTCAAATGACCGATACAGAATCTATATGGAGAGGTGGCTGCCACCAAGAAGCAGCGACCCTTCCTCTTGCCAATCTTTCCTGAGTCTCTGTCTCCTCCCCCCCACACACACTCCTTCCAGTTCTAGAAGTTTGAACACTCATTTGTGTTATACTAAGGAGTTCATCCGTTTTTATGGCTATGACCAATGCCTATGCTATTTTGGAAATTCATTTTAAGACATCCTAGAAAAAATAGCTGAATTGTGTTCTAATTTTTAAAAAATAAACTAAGCCGAGCATGGTGAAATATGCCTGTATTTCAAGTGCTTGGGAGAATGAAACAGACAGATTGGAGTTTGAGGCCATGCTGGGCTACATAATGAGACTCTCAAGAAAAGGGAACATTTTAAATAAAATTTACTACTGGGGAAAAATGAATAAAAACAACCTAGGAAGCTATATAAAGATATATATTCAAGTATACAAAATTCAAGTACACAAAAATGTGTTTGAAAATTGTGGTGTTTAAGAATATTTCATAAATTCAGTATTTACAAAGAACTTTTGTCATAAAAACTCTGACTAAATTTAGTAGAGAGCTGTGGAGTACTTAAAAATAAGATTATTTATGTACTGACATTTAGCATTTTTTCTCTTCTACTTTTTTTTCAGTGCTGGGGTTCAAGTCCAGGACTTCATGCTGGGCTCTATCACCATATACTACATCGTCCAATCTTTTTTCTATTTATTTCTTATCAGCAAAATAACTTGTTCCTAAGCAGATATTACTTACCTTACTTACATGTGTGTCACAGTTTGCAAATACTTCATGGAACCTCAGTATTTGTAGACATTTTACAATTCTCTTGTGACTTTTGATGATATGGTCTTTTTTTCTTTTTTAACAGAGATATGACTGAAGTTGTACATATCAAAGACAGGAAAGAGGCAATCCATGAGCTAAAATATTCGCCAGATGGCACTTACCTTGCTGTTGGCTGCAATGACAGCTCAGTTGACATCTATGGAGTTGCTCAGCGTTATAAAAAAGTTGGTGAATGTGTTGGTTCACTTAGCTTCATCACTCATCTGGACTGGTCTTCAGATAGTAGATATTTGCAGACAAATGATGGCAGTGGAAAACGATTTCTATATAGGATGCCAGGTAAACTTTTCTAGCACATTACATATAGTTCATAATCTTTTAATGTCTGTGATATTTAAATTTTCATTAAGAGTAAATCATAAATTATATTTTATTATAGGCAGAGTAATCTGAGCTATTTCAGGCATTGTGGTCTTTTCTACAAGACAAATATCTTTAGAATTCTTCCCCACCAGAATATTGAATTGTAAGTGACACCAAAATTCTATATGTTTGAAATATGCAATGTGATTTAAAAAAAAAAGAATTTAAGATAGGGTCTCATTATGTTTCCTGGCTAGCCTGAAACTGACTATGTAGACCATGCTGGTCTCAAAATCTGAAATCCTCCTGCCTCTACCTCACAAGTGTAGGGATTAAAGTTTTATACTATCATGCCCTGCCCAACATGATTTTTTAATGTACATACACTGGGCATTGTAAAATGATTTTCACAATAGCACCAATTGTCATACCTACCACCTACTATAGTTGTTGTAATTTGTATGTAGTAGAAACATTTGAGATCTTCATTAGCAAATTTCAAGCATAACATGCAGTAATACAGTGCGGATAATAACAGTTACTGCACTGTACCTTCAGAAAGGACACTCAGAACTCATCCTATACAAGTGGAACTTAGTGCCCTGGAGAACATGTCCCAACCCCAGCATTTACCTCAGCTCTTGGATACCAGTATTGTAAACCCTTATTAATTAAAACTCCACACCTCTCAAAATGACCGTCTACATTTCTGTTTGACACGGTGCTTTGTGAATTAATCACTCTTATAAGGACTTACTTAATAAGACTGGTTGCATAATACAATTGATGCATCTCCCCCAAGCTTTTCATTGATGACTTATAATAAGATTTATTAAGTCCTAAAGTCGTCTTACCTAACACAAATGTATCACACTCCATCTATCATTTCTTTTTACTCTTCTTCAGCCTCCCTCCCAATTATATATCTTGGGTTTCTTTTTAATACCTGATTTGCCACTTTGTCATAGCTCTTGCCTTTTCTTCCTTCCCTTGCCTCCTCACTGCCTCCCAATACCTCCTCTTATCCTTCTGCTTCTTTCCTCTCTCCCTCCCTTGCTTCCTTTCTTCATTCCTTCCTTCCTTTCTCCCTCTCTCCCTCCCTCCCTTGCTTCTTCCTCCCTCTTCCTTCCCTCCCTCCCGCTTGTTTGTTTGTTTGGATTTTTGTTGAACATGTTGCAGAAGATGTGTAGTAAAAGAGACCAAAACCCACACCATCAATAGACCCTTACATTCTTCCTCTGCTTCAATAGACCCTTACATTCTTCCTCTGCTTCCACATTCTCCTCTGCTGGGGCAGTAGCTGTTTCCGTGTTGTCCTGAAGATGAGGACAGAGTAGATGTGGCAGAGCTCAGAGACCACTAGTTGCCAGTAGGGAGGACCTCACTTACCCCAGTGTAGCCTTAGCTTCCTCAGAGCCAAGCACCTTGACAATCCCTGAAGAAAGGCATCTTTTGCTTTTTCTTATTACTTACCCAGTTGTCACTAATTGTACGTCATGATTTTAATAAGATTTAGTTCAGTTTTCCCTATGAATGAGCCTGAGGAATTGATAATTACATCCAAGCTCTCTAAACTAGGATGATACTAGTAGCATTTAAAAATTTTTTTCATTTTGTTTCTTCTTCTAAACCACAATTGCCTGTCTGTTCATGTATTCTTCTCTAAAAGAATCAAATAAAGTAATTTCTTAATGAAGACTTTTATTTTTAGGAGGAAAGGAAGTGACAAGTAAAGAAGAAATAAAAGGTGTTCACTGGGCTTCATGGACATGTGTTTCAGGACTTGAAGTCAATGGGATTTGGCCCAAGTATTCTGATGTCAATGATATAAATTCAGTAGATGGAAATTATGTTGGCCAGGTTTTAGTTACAGCTGATGACTGTGGAGTTGTAAAATTATTCCGATATCCATGTTTAAGAAAAGGTATCTTTCCTTTTAATATTTTAACTAATGCTCTCATAAAAATGTTATGTTCTTATGGTCTAGCTAAATGATAAGATTTATATTTCAGAGTGTATATTAATTGGTGAAGGCTTTGTTTTTGTCAATTCAAAAATTGTTGTCCTGTTAACATTTATTTTTTGGTCATGAAATTTTTACCAAGAATTCTTTAATTCATTATATTATATGCAGTAATGGTTTTCACCTGACTTGTTAATAGTTACTACACACATTTTTAAAGTGCAACTCTGTAACAGGCATTACCAGAACAGCTGAAGTAGCTTGATCCGAGTATATAGTGAGCATGGGTTTTCACAGGAGCCTAAGTTGTATTGATAGTGTACATGTGCACTGATGATGAATTCAAGACCCTGCAGCCTCTTCATGTTGCCAGTTCCTCCCTGTGAAATGTCAGATGCTCTAAGGACATAAGTAATTTGAGTCTGTGAACAAAGGCTGGCTGTATTTTTAGTGAGTGAAACCCCTGTTCCTAATCTCCTACCATAGGACATGTGAGGCACCATGCACCATTCAATTCTATGTTTTAAAGATTCATCTGTACTATTGCATGTATCTTTTGATTGCTTTTTATTACCATAAAATAATTGTGTTGTAAATGCATGGTATAGATTTGCATTTATTTTCCCATTAGTTGACGTTTGAGACATTTCTAGTCTTTTGTTAACACATGTTAAGTTTCTCAGAGGTGTACACAGAAAGAAACTGTTGGATGATAGAGGATGGGGCTGTAGAACTTTATAAGAAAAAGTCAGTTTGCTTTCTAAAGTAGTTAGAACATTTTATCGACACCCTTTGACTCACATCTGCATCCGCACTTGACCTTACCATAGTTTCTTCTAATTTTTGCAAATGTAGCTACTGAAAGTCATATTTTGTGGTCTTATTAAAATCTATTCTAATGAGACTAAACTTCATTTTCAGATGTTTTGGGGGAAGATTTATGTGCTTCCTGTGTCCAACACAGTTCTCTTTGCTATATGATTGCTTCTTTTGTTGAGCTGTTTATATATTCCAGTAGGCTCAAGTGATTTATGATTTTTAGGGATTGTAAGTATCATTTTTCAGTGTACAGCCAGTTCTTTTCTTTTTCTTTTTTTTTCTGAGAGATAGACTCTGTAGACCAGCCTGGCCTCAAATTTTCTATGGAGTTAAAGAGGCTAGACCTGAGTTCTTAATTTGCCAGTCTCCACCTCCTAAATACAGGGATTGCAGGTGTGTGCTACCATGCTTGACCTCTTTTTAATTGCTTCTTAATTTCTATACAGCCAAATCTTTTCATCCATTTCCTTTTATGTGTGGTGCCTGTGTGCATGTATGCACACACAGATGTGCATTGCCATAGTGCGTGTAGGAGGTTAGAGGACAACGTTAGATACTGCTCCTTACCTTCCATCTTGCTAGAGACAGGGTATCCTGTCCATGGGTTTCTAGGGATTCTTTTGCCTCTCCTGTTCATCATGCCATAGGAACACTGCCATGCACACTGCCAAGTCCAGCTTTATGTGGGGCCTGGGAATTGGAACTCAGATTGTCAAACTTGAACAACAAGCACTTTATTCACTGAGCCATCTCTCCAGCCCTTGTCTGTTTTCTAATGGATAATTCTGTTTCATATATTAAGAAATTTTCCTTTGCATGGATGGTGGGAGAGGTTTTGTTTTCAGTATAAAACTATTTATTGACTACTGTTTACCTTTACTTCCAATAAAGTACACAATGTATGTACAATTGGATAGTATTCAGATACCACAAAGTTATTTTCTTGGCTTCTGCTGAACAAGTAATCCAGATAATGAAAAGATTGAGCCTGCCAGTAAGGAGTGAATCAGAATAAAGAAAAAGCTTGTTCAATAATGTAATTTACCAAATTTGTTCACTTCAATGTCAGGGAATCTTCAGTTGCCAGTGTCTGTATGATTGCATGTCCATAAAACATCTTACATAGCCCATGGATCAAAGCCTCTTAGTATATAGACTTCACCTTTCTATAAAGGAATGGCTCACTGTAGAAACCTGTACATGTTCATTTAAATCTGGCTTAGCTAATTAAGACAAATGAGGATCTGTTTATTTCTTTGCCCAAGTGAGAGTTAGTATCTACAAATTTTTGCAAATTGCTACATTTATGAGATAAACATATGAATTTTTATGTAGCTTTTAAATTACCCAATCTAAATTATCCAGTTTTAATTTGGAAGGCTATGACTTCAGGAAAATAATTCAGTCTAACCTGATGTGTTTTCTTTTTTTAATCCTTTTTTATTTAAATTATAAACAGTCTTGTTTTACATATCAATCCCAGTTCTCTCTCCCTCCCATCCTCCCCTGCCCCCCACCAATCCCCTATCCCATCCCTTTGTGCTCCCCAGAGAGGGTGAGGCTTTGGGGGCTCTTCAGATTCTGTCACATCATTTGGGGGAGGGCCTAGGCTGAGAGAGTATCCCTTTATGTATAATGGGCTCCCAAAGTCCATTACTATACTAGGGATAAATACTGATCCACTACCAGAGGCCCCATGGATTGTCCTGGCCTCCTAACTGACACCCACATTCAGGGGGTCTGACTCAGTCCTATGTTGGTTTCCCAACTGTCAGTCTGGGGTCTATGAGCTCCCCCTTGTTCAAGTCAGCTGTTTCTGTGGGTTTCTCCAGCCTGGTCTTGATCCCTTCACTCATTATTCCTCCCTTTCTGCAACTGGATTCCAGGAGTTTGGCTCAGTGCTTAGCTGTGGGTGTCTGCCTCTGCTTCCATCAGGTACTGGATGAACTCTGGGATGGCATATAAGGTAGTCATCAGTCTCATTATAGGGGAAGGGCATTTCAAGTAGCCTCTCCACTATTGTTTAGATTGTTAGTTGGTGTCATCCTTGTAGATCTCTGGACGTTTCCCTAGTGCCAGATTTCTCTTTAAACCTATAGTGGCTTCTTCTATTCTGGTATCTCTTTTCTTGCTCTCCTCTATTCTTTCCTTGACTCAATCATCCTGCTCCCTCATGTCCTCCTCTCCCCTCCCCTTCTCCTCTTCTCTTACTCCTAACTCCCTCTCCTCTCCCCCCAATGCTTCCAATTTGTTCAAGAGATCTTTTCCCTTTCTCCTTCTTCAGGGAACCATGTATGTCTCTCTTAGGGTCGTCCTTGTTTTCTAGCTTCTCGGGAGGTGTGGATTGTAGGCTGGTAATCCTTTGCTCCATGTCTAAAATCCATATATGAGTGAGTTCATACCATGTTTGTCTTTTTGTGACTGGATTACCTCACTCAGGATGGTTTCTTCTAGTTCCATCCATTTCCTGTGAATTTCAAGATTCCATTGTTCTGCTAAGTAGTACTCCATTGTGTAAATATACCCCATTTTCTTTATCCACTCTTCAGTTGAGGGGCATCTAGGTTGATTCTAGGCTCTGACTATTACAAATAATGCTGCTATAAACATAGTTGAATAGATATCCTTGTTGTATGAATGTGTATCCTTTGGGTATATGCCTAAGAGTGGAATTGCTGTGTCTTGAGGTAGACTGATTCTCATTTTTGTGAGGAACTACCATACTGATTTCCAAAGTGGCTGTATGAGTTTGCACTCCCACTAGCAGTGGATGAGTGTTCCCTTTTCTTCAGCATAAACTATCATTGGTGTTTTTTTTTTAATTTAGGAGCAAGATGGTATCTCAGAGTTGTTTTGATTTGCATTTCCCTGATGTCTAAGGTCTTTCAGCCATTTTAGATTCCTCTATTGAGAATTCTCTATTTAGTTCTATACCCCACTTTTTTATTAGATTGTTTGATGTTTTGGTAACTACCTTCTTGAGTTCTTTGTATATTTTGGAAATTAGCCCTCTGTCAGATGTGGGGTTAGTAAATATCCTTTCCCATTTTGTGGGCTGCCTTTTTGATTGTTGACTGTGTTTTTTGCCTTACATAAGCTTCTCAGTTTCAGGAGGTCCCATTTATTAATTGTTGATCTCAGTGTCTGTGCTACTGGTGTTATGTTCAGGAAGCTGTCTCCTGTACCAATTCGTTCAAGGGTACTTCCCACTTTCTCTTCTAAGAGGTTCAGTGTATCTGGGTTTATGTTGAGGTCTTTGATCCATTTGGACTTAAGTTTTGTGCATGGTGATAGATATGGATCTATCTGCAATCTTCTGTATGTCTACATCCAGTTATGCCAGCACCATTTGTTAATGCTTTCTTTTTTCCATTGTATAGTTTTAGCGTCTTTGTCAAAAGTCAGGAGCTCCTAGGTGTGTGGGTTAATATCAGGCTTTTCAGTTCAACTGCATCGATCTATGTGTCTACTTTTGTGCCAATACCAAGCTGTTTTCAGTATTATAGCTGTATAGTAGAGCTTCAAATCAAGGATGGTGGTGCTTCCAAAAGTTCCTTTGTTGTACAGGGTTGTTTTGGCTATCCTGGGTCTTTTGTTTTTCCATATAAAATTGAGCATTGTTCTTTAAAGGTCTGTGAAGAATTGTGCCGGTATTTTGATGGGGATTACATTAAATCTGTAGATTGCTTTTGACAAGATTGCCATTTTTACTATGTTGGTTCTATCTAGCCAATAGCATGGAAGATCTTTCCATTTTCTGATATGTTCTTTAATTTCTTTTTTTAAAGACTCAAAGGTGTTTCTATACAGCTCTGTTACTTGTTTGTAGGGCTACTGATTTTTTTTAGTTAATCTTGTATTCTGCCACTTTGCTGAAGGTATTTATCAGCTGTAGGAGTTCCCTGGAAGAATTTTTCAGGTCACTTATGTAAACTATCTTATCATCTGAAAATAGTGTAAGTTTGACTTCTTCATTTCCAATTTGTATTCCCTTGATCTCCTTTTGTTGTCTTATTGCTCTAGCTAGTACTTCAAGTACAATATTGAAGAGATATGGAGAGAGTGGCTAGCCTTGTCTTGTTCCTGATTTTAGAGGAATTGAGCTGAGTTTCTCTCCATTTAGTTTGATGTTGGCTGTTGGT